CCCCAAAACCCCAAAACCCCAAAACCCCAAAACCCCTTTCCACAGGATATAGTTGAAAATAGAAATTAGTATGAAAGCCCTTCACTTAGAACTCCTTATAGTTGACCTGATGCTCACCTGTCTTAAGCCCACCCATTCGAGAGTATGCATCATGGGCATCACGATATGTCTTCGAGCCTTCGGTGTTGAATAGGTTAGAGTCAAGTTTGTCTAGCTCAACTCTTGCTTTATCATTGATCGTCTGAGCAAGGAACTGACTACTTCTTTGGTTTATATCATCAATTTTAATTCTTTCTTTGTCCAAGCTGTCAAGTTTGAACTTTTCTCCATCTGGAACTGTTGGAATTGCATCTACAATAGATTTCTCAACAGCATATTTCTTGCTGTAATCGAAATCTTTGTATTTAGGCTGACACTCAGGATACCTCGTCTTGTGATCCATTAGTTTATCCCAGAGTAGAGTGTTGTAAACATATTTATGCCTGATTCCATCAAGAGCTTTTTGATTTTCAAGTTCTCCTCTCATTCTGTCTACTTCTGCAAGACTATCGAATCTTTCTCTATCAGCAACAGTTGCATCTTTATTTCAGCGAAGCAATTTGCTTAAGAAGCTCTAGGTCTCTTCCATCCATATTTCCTTTAATCTTGTCTAATTCGAGCCGCATGGTTGAACCGAGTTGGTCGACAAAGGCTTGGGAAAGTTTCACTGAGTTATCTCTATCCAAATACTGTACATACCTAGGGTTTGCCATCATCTCTTCCCACCTTCTCATCTCTTCGTCATGTCTGTGCTCCCAATAGTCTTGCATTCGTTCAAGGTTCTCTTGTTGAATATCCACGAACTGCCTTCTTCTATCTTCAAGGTCTCTCTGGAAGCCTCTTTCCATTGATTCCCTTTCAACTTTGTATTTTTCTTCGTCATTCATCCACTGATATTTCCTTCTCTTTTCTTCCTCTTCTCTTTGCCAACGTTCCCATTGGAGTAAGGCGAATAGCTCATTCCTCCAAGCTGCCCAGTCAACTTGGGGCTGAACTACCTGGTAAGTTACCTGAGGTTGAGGAGGCTGTGGTTCTGGCTCCCTAGGAGGCGGCATTGTAGGAATTCTTGATGCTTTCTTCTTTTTAGGCTGCACATCGACTATATAGTCCGGCTTGAAGAACCTATTGCTAGCCATCTGAGCTGCAGTTTGTGCAGTAGTGTTGCTAATAGGGCCTGCTGCAATAAGGTCTGGCTCATTTTCAAATCCATCTTCATCTTCTTCTTCAAAGTTTTCATACCTATCAATTTTGGCATGACTTTGTCTTCTTTGATGACTCCTATGACTAGCTCTAGAGCTACCTCTAGAACTTTTATTCAAGAATCGTTTAAAATGCTGTCTCTCATGATCCCCTCTCATCTGAGGTTTTCTCGATGTAATCATATTACCAAACTGATCTCTTAGAGGAGCTCCAGCTCCGCCTCTGCCAAAGGGTTGGTAATTAAAGGACTCTTGTAAGAAATCGATATCTTCATCACGATCTTTTTCTTTGCTTTTTCTCCGTTTCTGCTTATCAGCTTCCATTTGTCTCTTAAGTTCTTCACCGTAGGAGCTTTTCATACGAGACATGGACACTCTAGAAGCATCGTCTCTGAATTCCAGCCCGCCTCCTGTATTGTTCTTGGAGGGAGCCCCATTATTATAACGCTGATTGGCCCCTCTAGGTAATTGAGGCATACTCTGTGCCAGTTGGTCTAGAAAGTCTTAAAGGACATATATACTTACTTTGGCGATTTAAGTTTGGGTGTTGATTCTCAGCTTGAGATACAGAAGCAGGTGCAGCAGGCATATTAGTATTCATCCTATTATATTTCTCTTGTAGTCTATTATCCCTATCAGGAGGATTCATATCAAGCTGTCCATTTTGATTCCCCATCATTCTCTGTTGTGGAGCTCCAGGATCAAAACGATTTGTTGCGTTGGCTCCTCCAGTATTTTCTGGAAGATCAGCCATCTCTGGAAAATTTATTCTCGCATTACTCATAATAAAATATTAATAAAATGGGGTTTTGGGGTTTTGGGGTTTTGGGGTTTTGGGG